ACCACAGACACGCTTCCCCGAATGGAAGAGAGATTCCATGGCAGACAGGCTTAGCCAAGGTGGGAGAAAGCCTGGAGTGGTAGTGACTGCAGGACAGAGTTTAGAATGGTTGTGATGATAGGCACCTATGTATCATGATATCTGATGGGGAGGCTCAGTGTCCATGAGTGAGGAAAAAAGAAGGTCCAAGAGACTGAACTCCAGTGTCCTAGAGGTTCATTATGAACTGTGGCTCAGGCACCAACTGGTGAGTAGAGCAGTATATCATTAGGCATCATTACATGGACTTTTTGCCCTAGTCGTGTTTGATATTTTCCTCGACCTATGAGCCATCCATCATCTGAGTCTTGTCACTGGAGGCAGTGTCAGGGCTGGGCTTCCTCTCTTAGCAGGGACAAATGATAAATTATTTATTTATTTACTTACTTACTTGCTTACTTGCTTACTTACTTACTTACTTACTGATTTAGAATTCAACATGCTGACTTGCAAAGTCAGTTACTTAGGTCAGATTCGGTAGCTACTCGTGACATCTGTATTAATTAGCATGCCAGTCCCTATCTCTCCTCCTAGTCTTATTTGCTACTTCTTGTGCATTGTTTAAAGTACCTAAATCATTATAATTTTGGTGGGAAGAAAATTGTTTTTTCTTCAATTTTTGGGTAAAATTTTTCAAGTAAAATGATTTTTTGAAACTCTCTCAAACTATGTAAGCACATTTGGTAACTGTAAATGATAGTTACAATGTTCAAGTTCTTTTAGTTGCTTACCCTGCTCTTTAATTTTCTAATTTTAGAGGAAATAGTTTTTAAAAATATCTTTACTGTATATATTTAAAATTTCTGGAATATTTTTGTGTTTATAACATACTTTTACTAAGTCTATACTTTAAAAAGAACAAGGAATTCTAACAGTAGGCTGCATTACACACGAGAGAACCACTGGGGAATATATATTAACTCTCTTTGTTGATTTCCCCAGAGATAAAACTTGAGGGATGAGACGCTTGAAGAAGATAGCTCTCACTTACTCTTTTTCAAACAAATCTCTTGTTGCCTATGCCTAACATATAAAATTATACAAATCTGCCTTAGTAGAATAACAAATGATTTGAAATCCAGTTCTAAGGAATAGTGGCTCAAGTGATAGTTCTGTATACTCTGGGTCTCATGCTCAAAGTAATTTTTACTTCTAGTGTAAAGGTAAAGAAAAATACCCAGCATTGAGCTGTCTGGGAATGAGGAGAGGTATGATCAGATATAAGTCCTTAGCTCCTAAATATCTCAGACTTCCCTACTCTGTTCTGTATTCTCTTGTTATTAGACATGTTTGAATTTTATCTTTTAAGACCCATTTTCCTTCTAAGATCCTAACTTTCTTTTTTAAAATGTAATTGATAAAATGGTTTTATTTATGTATTTTTAATTTAAAATTGTTTTGGGAATTTCCTACTTAATAACTCCTTATATTATTTCACATTCCCTCTCTCTCCTACAACTTCAACTCTTCTCTCAACAGGCCTCAAATTCTTGGCTCCTTCTTTAATTATTCATATATATATATATATACATATACATATATATATGTCAAACATATGTGTGTGTGTGTTTGTGTGTGTGCATATACAGAAAGAACATGACAAGTGTCCATTCAGCATTGCTCATATGTTTATGTGTTTAGGACTATCCAGTTAGCATTGGATAGCTGTTATGAGCTGAATGAGAATGACCACAATAAACTCATATATTTGAGCATTAAGTATCATGTTGGGGGGCTATTTAAGAAAGATTAATAGTTATGATCATTTTGGAAGGTGTGTGTCCTTGTTGGAGGACCTTGGTCACTGGGAATGGGCTTTGAGGTTTCAAAGCCCATGCCAGTTCTCGTTTCACTCTTTCTGTTTCCTGCCTATGGATTGGGATGGAGGTCTCAGCTACTGCCATAACATCATGCAAGCCTCCCTGAAGCCTAGTTCTCTACCATACTGAGCATGGGCTAAATCCTTTTAACTCTGATCAAGCCTCCAACTAAATGTGTGCTTCTGAAAGTTGACTTTTACATGATGCTTCTTCACTGCAACAGAACAGAATATTTCCTGTAGTTCTTTTGCTGTGAGTGTAATATTGTGAGATTTCCCTCATTCCCTGGATGTTATGTCAACAGAAACCAGTTAATATCCAGATTCATTGATTTCTCCAGCTTCCATAAGCATTATCTCATTCTCTACAATATTAAATCACAAGAAGCACTTCTGAGTACACAAATTTTAATTCAGACAGTTTGTTTCACAGTCATTTTGAAGCTGTTTGTTACTTAGCTTGCTGAATGATTTTTAATTTATATGTTAATGCTGTGGTGCTAATTGCTACAAATGTAGAAGAAAATTATGTTTATGGTTTATAATAATAAATATATAGTTATATAATTGCTGACATTAAAGATAAAATGATGAAAATAAATAAAAATAAATGATAAGATAAATAATGAACATGAAATGTACCAGGTCCTGTGTATATATACAATGTCTTCCAACTTAATATTTTTATCAGATTCCTAAATGTGTGATTGGTGTCTGATTCTTGTATCGTCTCGTGGGCTCTTTTTCTTCTGTTGGTTTGTCTTATCCAACTTTGATGTTATAGGTTTTTTGTTTTGTTTTGTTTTATCCTACTATATTTTATTTTGTTATATTAAAAATTGAGTTACTGAATGAAAACCTCATGGATAAATGCTAAAAACTTAGCTACCGTTTATTCCTACTGACAAAAGCAAAATTAGTTTTCGGCAATAGAGTAATACTTAGTATATCAACCATTCCAGTATAGGACTCATGTTTAGGAGTAGTTGACTAACAAAATGTGGACTCCAGAGATTTTGTGCATGTGCTTTTATTTGCTTACTGTTTTGTAGCTTTATTTTGGGGGAGTATGATTTTATTTTTTATTCTTGGTTTTTGGAGGTTTTAGTTCTATTGTTTGTTGAGAAAGAATTTATATTTGTATAGGTAAGGAGGAGGAAAGAATCTGGCTTTGGGAAAGTGATTAATATAATCAAATATATTGAAATTTAATAATTACTTTACATAACACAACACCTTAGTTTGGGTTTTAATATGGTGCTCATTTGCAAGGCTAATATTGCTTCATTGTATTGATGGTTTTCAAATTGTTTTGTTGAACATTCATGACTAAAGCACAAACCCTACCTTTAACAATAGCAAACATTATGTTAGATTGGAGAAGGAAGATTAGAACTTTTTCTGTTTACCTGTGATATACTCAATGGACTTTTCTATAACAGTCATGCTATGTAACTTTTTTGTTATTTTGTTATTTTTCTTATAATTATTTCATATTTAAGATACAAAGGTATACAAACACTCTAGTGACACAGCAGAACTATACAACAGACAGTGGAACTAAATATGGTTGTTAGAACTGGACTGAAGGGAAGGTTAATCAATGAAACTGATTAAAGTCCATAAGTATGGTTAGATATATCATAAATGAGAAAAAGATAATGAGATTTTTGTGAAGAAGATTGATATTTCCTGGGTTAGCTTTGCAAAGGACAAGAAATATATGTAACCAACTAATGAATAAATTTAGAGATCTAGATCTAGAGGGTCTGTTCATTTCGGTAAAGCAGAATACCACAGGAAAGGGATGTATAGTTATAAGAAATGTGTTTATCTTATCATATGACTCTGAAGATTGAGAAGCTGAAGACCAAAAGCCTACATCAAGGGAAGTAGTCCTTTTCCTGAATGGTGGTATGGTAAAAGATGAGAGGAACAAGGAAGTAAAATATGAAAGATACAGAAAAGGAAAAAGTCAGCCCCACATAGGGATCACACACCTGTTGTTACTAGTCTGCTCTCATAACAGCTTTAACCAATTTCCAACATGACCTATGCTCACTATAATTGCTCATCTTCATCAGTATGTTGTATTGGGTATTATATTCTTAACATTCTCATTTTGGAAGACACATTCTGTCACAGTATATGGTTCCCAGGTTTTCATAGTAAAGGTGTACCCAAGAGAAGCATTAAAATAGAAATGATATTTTCAATCAATATAAACTGTTAAAAAGCTAAGAGTTCTAGAGTTACCATAAAAACAACTGCTGAAAATGAACCCAACTGCATGAAAAGCTTATGAAACTTTTGCTTCTGATTTGGAATTGACCTAGAATGGAAAATTTGTTTTTTGTGAAATATGGACAATGCCATCTGCTGAGTCAAAGAAAAACAAGGATCCAACAAATAACTGCAAGACATTTCATTATGACTTGTTGGTGATTTTCTTAAATTTCTTCAATGTCCTGTGATCTTAACCTAATAACATTACCTTGATATACTATTAATTACATTTAATAAGTCTCTTTAGACAATTCAGGATTTTCTAAATGCCAAGTTATATGTATGTACTAGTAGATGCTTATCGTCTTGATTTTTAATCTACTTATTTTTAAGTGCATTCTTATATGTGTCTGATTTTACAGACAAATGTTTAGAATTAAATGAAGAGATAGACAATTCTCTTGTTCATTATTTTTTTGTAAAATCTTCAATTATTTCACCATTAACTGTAATGATAGCTTTGAGTTTCTTGTGGATAGTTTTTACTTTACCACAGTAAGAAATTTTCTTCCTAAAGAGAGATGCTATAAATAAGACATGAGTCATTTTTGAGAAACTCAGTTAAAAGTCCTAGGTTTAATTTTCTGGATTTATATTTTCCATGAAATAGAAAATGGATACCAGTAATATAAGTCTTAAGACAAAAGTCACCAATATGTAAACATCTCTGTGATTTTTTTCTTTGCATGTCTGTTTGTAAATAATCTTACTCCTTAGATAGAAAAGAGGGTGGTAAAAGATTAAAAATACCTGGTGACATTTGAATTCTATTTTAAAATTCATTGAGTTAAAGGAGAATGGATCCTCACAACTTTATTCTGTATCTAATCTTCTTCTAACATAGAGATTCCAGAAGAGAATGGAAGAAGTAAATCAAACCGCTCTGGCTGAGTTCATCCTCTTTGGGTTAATAGAAAACCCAAAGCTCCAGTTGCCCCTATTCCTCATCTTCCTAGGAGTCTATTTGGTTACAGTTGTGGGAAACATGGGCATGATCATCTTGATTCTGTTCAGTTCTCAGTTACACACACCCATGTATTATTTACTCAGCAGTCTGTCCTTTATTGACTGCTGTCAGTCCACTGTCATTACTCCCAAAATGCTGGCAAACTTTGTGACAGAGATGAATGTCATCTCTTACCCAGAATGCATGGCTCAGTTCTACTTCTTCTGTGTTTTTGCTGCTGCAGAATGTCACATGTTAGCTGTAATGGCATATGATCGCTATGTGGCTATCTCTAACCCTTTGCTTTACAATGTAACAATGTCCTATCAAGTCTGTTTCTGGATGGTAGCTGGGGTATATGGTATGGGCTTACTGAGTGCCACAGTTCACACTATCTTCCTGATAAGATTGCTCTTCTGTAAAGTTAATATAATAAACCATTACTTCTGTGATCTTGTTCCATTACTGGAGCTCTCTTGCTCTAGTACTTTTATCAATGAAGTGCTAGCATTGTCCTTCAGTGCATTTAATATTATTGTACCAGTTATGATCATCCTTAGCTCTTATGTCTTCATCATTGTCAACATTCTGCATATTCAGTCTGCGGGGGGCAGATACAAGGCTTTCAGCACATGCAGCTCCCACATCTTGGCTGTTTCTGTCTTCTTTGTGTCATTAGCATTCATGTACTTACAGCCATCTTCAGTCAGCTCCCTGGGCCAAGGCAAATTTTCTTCTGTGTTTTATTCCATTGTTGTGCCTATGTTGAATCCTATGATCTACAGTCTGAGAAATAAAGATGTCAAAGTTGCCCTTAAAAAGTTAAAACAAAAGATAAGTTTCCTCACAACAAAACATAGTTTTAATTAGCAATAGAGTATACCTCCTGCAATTTGGGGATGGAAATATTCTACAAACATTAATTAATAACACCAAATTTGAGATTACTTTTACTACATGATTAGCTGAAAGAAATGTACCAAAGGTAGAAATAGAGTCTCAATATCATGGCTACATGGAAAACTGTGACTCTCTGGTATAACCAGAATCCTAAAAACCTCCCTAAAATTCTTCAATGCCCTTTGTGTCATTTGTTATATTTGCCTATGTGAGCTCAGCTCTGCTCAGACAAATCTCACGAACATGAAATTGACAAAAAAAACTCATCAATAGTCTTTGTTTATTTCAATGTTTTGTAGATGGATGTTTGACTCATTGACCAATGATTCAAGAAGTATTTTTCTGGATTGTATGTTAAATTATTACAATAATTGATGTTTAACTCTGGGGTCTAAATATATATAGAGAACTATCTTAGTGTATATGTAAGCAAAAGACTACTATAGTCCTACTTAAATGGTGTTTGCACTATCTTAAACCAGAGTGGCAATAATAAACAGGAACAGATTACTATCCATTTTTATGGGTATCAAGTCAAAATTCTTTGTACTGTTGTTTGATTAATCATTTTCTTACAATCCCGTATTCATATTTCTTCTTCATGCAGAGTCATGGTGCTTTATTTGCTTACATTTCTGAGTTTCAGAAACGTTAAGTTATATTCTTTTACTCTACCATCTATTTTATCATGGTTCATATGGGAAAGAATAAAACTGGTAAAATGTTTCTGACAAATGATAAGCCCCATCCTGAAAATCATGAACAATTGTGAAGGAGAAGGATGAGGGAGGAAAGAAAAAGGTTTAACATCAATTTGTTATTGTTTTATCCAATTATTCATTTACTTCAAAACAACCATGGACAGATTAATGATAAGCAAAATGATAAGTAATAAACAAAATAGTAGCAGGAAATAAGAGAAAACAATTACAAACCAAATAAATTTATAAATATTAATATTATAAAAAACTTTTGAAGATATATACACTATACACAAAGGACTGCAAGTTTAACACTGTTTATAAAATAAAAGTTAACTATAGGACAGTTTAATGAAACAGTAGCTATCTTCCTACAAAGACACTAGGTGATTGTGAACAGCTGAGTATTATACTCTCATACTTTCCAATTGAGGAAAACCAACTATAGATCACAAACTAGACTTTCCCAATATGGACCTTAATACAAGATACCATCAGGGTCCTTACAAATGAGGATTCACCCCCACTTGCCTGTTGTGTTTCTCCAACAGGAAAACAAATTTTCTCACTTGTATCAGGCATATTTTAACAGTCATTACATAGGCTACCCAGAGCTAGTGCTGTATCCAAAATGAAAGGTTAGTGATACGTGAAATATATGCACACAGAAATCATTGTCTTCATTAAAAGGAATCTAACATCCGGATGTTTCTTTAAAAAACTACTGAAATCTAGAAAAAAAGTTAGATCCAGAAGAGAGTGTGAAAGCACCAGATACAAGTTTCTCAAGATTATAGGTTAGAAAATTCTAAAGATAGTTAATGAATCATCAAGCTTTACTTTGTATAAGGCTCAAGAAGAGTAGTTTTCAAGTATTAGTTCATTTAAATCTCATATAGGAGAAACCAACAAGGCCTCAACCCTACAGAAGTAACTACATGCAAACAAAATCCTGATTTTGTTCTTTACAAAAATGAAGAAGAATTCATCTCATTTGTCCTGGAAAGTAAAAGGTCCATTTGTTTCTTTTCCTTCCTATCTTTACAGTACCCCTTCAACTGCCTCTAAACTTGATTTTTTTCTTTTACTTTTTTAATTTTTATCTCTCCATATGTGGAAAACAGTGGTGAAGCTTGGACTCTCTAAAAGACCCCTGAAAGTAGGACCAGAATCAATCCCTGTTGCATGTGCTTTCTTCTTGGAGCATATTCCCTATGATGAGATGCCATTCTTAGCCTTGCTGCAGATGAAGAAGGGCTTGATCTTACCCCAACCTAATGTGCCAAACTTTATTGACTCCCCATGAGAGCTCTTACCCTTTGGGAGGAATGGATAAGGGTTAGGCTTTGGGGAAGACATAGCAGGGAGTGGGAGATGGGGTGGAAAAGAGAATTGTAGTTAGAATGTAAAATGAAATTTAAAAATTAAAAACTTTTATAGCACTTAGTTGTAGCAAGGAGCGAGCGGGCTGATTGTTGTCCCAACCACTCCACTAGCTTCCACGTGGCAATACACGTATTAACAGAAGTGGTTTAAATCAAGATGTGAGAGTTAGCCAATAAGAACCTAGAGATAATGGGCCAAGCATTGATTTAATTAATATAATTTATGTGTAGTTATTTCAGGGCTAAGCTTGCTAGGTAGCAGGGACAAACAAGCAGCCCCTCCTTGCAACAATTGGTGTACCACGTTGGGTGCCATTTTTTTTGTCCGGGTTTCTGTCCTGCCAGGTTTCTGCAATTGTTAAGTCCCAAAGAAATCACACAGAGGTCTACATTAGTTATAAACTGATGGTTCATTAGCTCAGACTTCTTATTAACTCTTTTTACTTATATTATCCCATTATTCTTGTCTATGCTAGCCACATGGCTGGCACCTTATTTGGCGAGGCAGTCACATCTTGGTTATTCTGTGGCTGGGTCAGGACTGCAGACTAGGACTTTCTTCTCAGAATTTTCCTGTTCTCATTGACCTGCCTCTACTTCCTGACTGACTGTCCTGCCTATACTTCCTGCCTGGCTACTGGCCAATCAGCATTTATTTAAAATATAATTGACAGAAAATAGACCATTGTCCCACAACACATGGATATCACAGAAGATGGAGCAGAAAGCTTCTAAGCGACATAATATTAGGAAGTGCATTGTAAAATAGACTTTGCAAATATGATAGTATAATCAAGACCAACACAAAATCAAATCAATAGACATGTTTCCTGGAAAGGGGTAAATTTCACAGAGTTTCACACATAAACTAAAAACTATAAGTTATCAAAACTGCAGGGAGGATAAGACCTTTTGCTAGCTTTTCAAGGTAGAGTGGTCTGCCCTGAAATAATAGACATAGAAATAAAATAGACTTATCAGAATACACACACCCACACACACACACATATATATATATATATATATATTATCTTTAAGTATATCTGTACCTATTGGAATGATGACACTTGAATAGAACTGAGGGAAGAAAGGGAATGGTGAAGGTAACTGTAACACCATTAGAGTGAAACTATTTTAAAAGCAATATAACACTAAATGCAACATTTCAACAAATGATTTAACATGTGAAATATATTTTGTATCACACACACATATTTTCACAGGACTTAATCATTTTTATCAGAAAAAGGCTTCTCAGGTCTCCTCCTGAATAAGAAATCCTTCAAGACACTATACAATAAGTTCGGTGTACACATCTTTTGTAATTTTTACATCAGTTCAGCCTAGTGAGTTCCCTAGAAATAGGGCCTACTTTTTCTCTTTTTTCTCTTGTTAGTAACTACATTTAGCAATTCCTGTAGTGTAGGTATAACAATTTCCTTAAATATAGAATTTGGACAATATTATTAAAACACCTGGAGCTCTAATGCTACCTTTCTCATTCCCGTTTAAACACTCAGTCTATAGAGAAGGAGGGAAAACTACTTGTCAAGGTTGTGTGCATACCAGGGGGAAAGTAAAATTACTAGCTGGTGATTTTCCCAAGAGTTGGGGAGTAGGATCCAATTCTATTGGGAACTTATTAATCATAATTTCTCCTGATAGCTATTAGTATCTCTATTCAGCATGAAAAACAGTCACATATACCAGGTTTTGTAAAACGACAAGTGACACTTATTGTGACATCCTCATCGGAGACCAAATAAGATTGGTCACTCAAATAAAATTATTGAGTAGGCATTGTTCAAGCCCTCAAATTCAGTTTCCCTTCAGAAGAATGGAGATGAAAAATGCAGACCTCCAAGTTTTCTGGGAAGGAGGGTAGGTCTGAAATTCAGGTTTTATCTTTGTAATTTTCTGATCCCCTGTGTTTATTTCTTTCCTAATCTTTACAGAGATGCACATGAACATATATGTGTATTTCACATGTGCGTTTTAGGAGCAGGGCTCTTTGATGATCAGGCTTTCTTAGCCTTCCCTATCTACTGCTAGGGAAAACATTAGTATGCACTGCTTGTTTATTTCTTTCACCTGTAGCAGTTATCAAATTTATTATTAAATAAAGGTTGGTCACAGTCCTTTTGAATGACTGTTCATTATAAGATTCATTAAGCCATTTTAAAGAGAATATGTTACTTTTCAGAAGTGCCTAAAGCAAGGCATAAAATAAAACACTGTACTCAATTTACAACTTTTTGAGGAAATGATTCTGGCATACCAAGTTCCAATTATAAAAGCTGTATGCATGTGTACATATAAGCAAAAGGAGTATATTCCTGAGTACACAGAGCATTGTATTATTAATTCTGCTTCTCAATTCTAAACATCTTCAGAACTGCAATTATGATATAAGATTTTTGGATAAGATTTTACAAAAAGATTCTAAACTATTTGTATTAAAATTGAGGAATGTCCACATTTCCTCTTTTGTAATCAGGTTATAAAATATATGTCAGAATAAAAGAAAACTTCTTTGTTAGCTAGCCATATCAATCATTTTATAGCAAAAGAAGCAGACTGAATTTTATTTGAGATATGGGAAAATATGGGCTACATAAAAATTAAAATACTGCACTATAATAAGTATTATGTATGAGCGAAAGATAACTATGCTTAGGGAAAAAATAAAATACAACACCAACAAGTAAAAGTCTCCAAAAAATGTATTTGTAGTTGAATAAAAGTTATTTCTGAGAAAAATCCCATAAAGTACATTTTAAAGAATTGCTAGTGTTTATAGAGTCCCACTTATAGAAATATTTAATGTACATTTCACACAGTACAGATAACAGTAATTCTGTTCTTAAGAAGTTTGGGGAGTTTTACACACATCTTGAAAATAACAATGAGTCGAGTATTTAGATATTAATGTTGTGTGCTATATGTGTTTGTGCTATGTTAGTTAGTCACCCGATCATTTATACTATTCTTCATGTGATAGGTTTTTATTGACACTCTTTATGAAGCCAACTGTTCCTTAGACAATAACTATGAATTTTTATTTTCTATAACCAATTTTATTCATTAGCAAATTTCAATAAAAGTTGTGTCAGTCTTTAGAAGAATCATATATCTGATTAGGATTATCAATTTAGGGGTAGAATTTATGTTTCCTTTTTTTATTAAAATAATGTTGTATTGATGCTTCAGGAATTTCACATCATGCAACCCAATCCCATTCATTTTCTAATCCTTCCATGTCTGCCCTCCACCCCGGTAGCTTCCACCCTTCAAGATGAATAAACAAATAAATAAATATTAAAAAAGTAGAAACAACAAAATAATAAACAAACAAACAAAACCCACTTTGCTCCTCTTTCTTTTCCAAATTTCCATAATGTATTCATTTGTTATAGCATTTTCAGGAGCTGAAATGTATCAAGCAGTATGTACCCTTTTCTCAAACAGCTTTGCTTGTAAATGTTCATTGAAATGAGCTATTTTTCTGTTAAACTATCTGGCTTCTAGTAAACATTCAATACAGGACCCTCACCAAACCTTTCTCAGATAATCACAGATTTTGCTACAAGTCATGGAAAACCTGAGGCTAAGATTATGTCTTGTCACTTCACATGTTCCAGGGGTTCACAGATGGGGTTGATGTTTGAGAAGATCAACTCAAAGGCCTGGATGTGGGATTTAGTGATGACTGAGTTGGTCATTCCAGGACTCTAATGGGGCTACCAGCTCAGTCAATTGCCAAGGCCACCTCTCCTATGTTGGGCCAGCTCTCCAACTGCATAGTGAAGGGTGAAGACAGATCTGCAAAGTCTGTCAAGGGGTATAGTTCTCTGAAGGCCACTGATAATCAGGGCCAGCTCTTCCAGTCCCATGCCACTGGGTACAATTCATCCAAAAACAATTAGATAGCTTTCCTATTGAGGTAGTCTGTAATAAGAAGGGCCAGCATTCTGTTGTCTAGGCCATCAGAGCCAGTTGTTCCTTGGACTCTGGTGGTAACATAGATAATGTCTATGTTATCACAGACCTTGGCATAGGTCAATGGACCTTGATATGACTTTCAACCACAGCCTGCACCCAGATATCACCATGACCTCTGGTAGCAGCTCAGACCACTAAGTTTAGTATGGCTCTAGGAGGTAGCAACATGGTCCAACACAAGCATCCCAATGGCCCTAAGTGGCAATATGGGCCATGGACATCAACACAGAGCCAAGCTGCAGTAAGGCCAAGGACACATATACTGTATTTGGCAGCAACACAAGGATGGACAAGTTACGGACCCAAGTGCCTTGTTTCTCATTGCCCTGCTTCTTCTTGTCCAATTCACTACAGCATGGACAAACCTATGCACTTCTCTTTCTCACCCATTTTTCTACCTCATATTGTTCATTGGAGTGGCATCACCCTGTGGCCGTATTTCACCTGCAAGTTCCCAAGGCACCAGATCCTGTGACCTGGGGTTAATTTCTTATCTGAGTTTTCCCAGTCCATACTACATGGATACTACATGCACATTCTACAAACTATGCAATTATAAAAAGTAAACAATATAGAGCATAAGAAATACTTTGTGTCAAACTCTTTTTTGTAAATTACAAATGTAAATATTTTCTCAGGTTCTATCATTTCAATCATGAAGTCCATTTTATTTGGATCAACAAGAGTCACCAGTTTATCTGGTGGAAAACAAGGCATAATTTTGAGCTATTGTGTTCATTTCCTAGTGATGGTTAAAGTCTGAAAAATATAGAAGTCTATCGTTCATTGAAAATATAAAAAGGATAAAGTTGGTATTCTCAGAAAGGCAGTAATATTCCTATCTTAAAGAGACAGTGGGACAGTGTGAAAAAAATTGGGATATAATTTTGATTTGGGATTGTAATGGTGATGGGTCAAAATACATACCATTACTTTGTACGTGAGTTAGTCCTATGTTAAGAAGTCATAGAAAACAGTTGCAATATTCTCTACTATAGGCCAATAGTACATTTAGTCACTATTTAATGCTAATATATTATAATATCTGAAGGAAAGAGAGAATTCAAAGATAATCTTTCCTGTGATATAGAAAAAAAACATTTAATTCAGTGTTTTTAAAGATTTCTAGGATCTCTCTTGATCCTAAGACCTGTTTTACTGTGTTATACATTTGACCATGGGTCATCGATTGTCCTACATAGGGAGTAAAAGAGTTAATACAGTACGTTACTTAACCTGAGGAGGGATGAAATAATGATCTCCACATGACTTCTAAGCACACATGTGCATTCATACAGACAGTCACCCACTCTGAGAACTTTCTCTCTTTAAACTTCTGACAGGAAAGGGGATGCTGGAAATCATTCAGTGGTAACTCTCTTCATCCTGGCTGGGCTCTCCAAGCAGCCAGCTCTGCAGCTTCCCCTCTTCCTCCTCTTCTTAGGAATCTACATCATCACAGTGGTGGGCAATGTGGGCATGATCACACTGATTTGGCTCACTACTCATCTGCACACTCCTATGTACTATTTCCTCAGCAATCTGTCCTTCATTGACCTCTGTCATTCCACTGTCATAACCCCCAAAATGCTGGAAAATTTTGTGAAAGAGAAGAACATCATCTCCTACCCTAAATGCATGACTCAGCTCTACTTTTTCTCTTTTTTTGCCATTTCGGAGTGTCACATGTTGGCTGCAATGGCATATGACCGCTATGTCGCCATCTGTAATCCTTTACTTTACAATGCCGTCATGTCTCATCATCTCTGCTTCTGGCTCACAGTGGGAGTTTATACTTTGGGTTTTATTGGGTCATCAGTTCACACAGGTTTCATGTTGAGACTCATTTTGTGCAAGACTAATATGATTAACCACTACTTTTGTGATCTCTTTCCACTCTTGGAACTGTCTTGCTCCAGTACATACATCAATGAATTATTGGTCCTTTTCCTAAGTGCAATAAATATTCTCACTCCTACCTTGACCATCTTTACTTCATATATATTTATCATTGTCAGCATCCTACGCATTCGTTCAACAGAAGGCAGGACCAAAGCCTTCAGCACCTGCAGCTCCCACATCTCTGCTGTGGCTGTCTTCTTTGGTTCTGCTGCATTCATGTACTTACAGCCATCTTCAGTCAGCTCCATGAACCAAGGGAAAGTGTCATCTGTGTTTTATACTACTGTTGTTCCCATGCTGAACCCCTTGATCTACAGCCTGAGAAATAAGGATGTCAAGTCAGCTCTTAAGAAAATTTTTGATAGGAGTGTACATTCGTGAAAAATGTAAATCCATTTGTAAAAAAATGCAATTTCCATTTATAAATGGAAATAGACCTTTGATTATCTTAGACATGTCTTTGCTTAAGTATTTTTTAAGCTTTGAAAACATCTACCGTGCTTTTATATATTATAGATATCAAGAATTTACTTTGTGTCAACCTTTTATGAATTTGGATTAAAATAATTATATCTGAAGAAATACAAGTAATTAAATTAAAAGAATTGTAGTTTTTAATGGAAATTTCTTTTAGTAATACAATGATAGAAGAATTTCATACTAATTTATGTATATGTAAAATTTCAATGTAATTTTATACAACCAATAAAAAATTCTAATCTTTATTAACAAATTCAATAGGAAAAATATTATCTATTATGTTAACATGTGTGACCTTTTGTTTTCTGATACCTTTATCTCCCATTTGATTTACTTGATTTTAGGAGATCATGTACAGCTATAAATACATGTTAGGTCATATCATCTGCATAATTAGAATTTCTTTCTGAAAATTTTCTGTGGTCAACTACTATTTCAGAAATCACCATCCCTTTCTGAGGTTGTCTTGCCCTAGGACATCTTTCTACAAATTCCCGAGTATCTAGTTTGCCACATTTATTATGTTTGTCACAAATCTGACCATCTCTATCTTGTATATGTTTTTGGTTGTAAGTTTCCTCTTCACTCAGTCAACTATGGGCAGATCCAATACTCCAACAGGCACAGCCCTCACAACTTGGTATATTCATATACTTACTGTTATTCTTTTGCTGTAGTGCCTTTAAGAACTAACCATGCCCACCCCAGCGAATTCTGACCTCCTCGCAGCCATCTTAACTCTCTCTCTCTCTCTGTCCTGTCTCTTGGTGTGTACACATGTGTCTCTATCTCTCTCTATGTTTTTCTTTACGTCTCTCTGATTTCCTCTTCTAAAGTAATAAATCTCTCCCTCTTCTCTAAGTAATAAATGTTTAGCTTTATGTATAGCCTTACGTCCATTTACTCTGCCATCCACCGCATCCAGCAGCCTGACTCTGCCGCTCGCCCCCGGGACCTGGCTCTGCCCTGGTGGCAGCCTCTGCCTGGCTCGCAGGCCGCTCGGGTCATCCCATCATCATATTCTTTTTAAAGAACAATACTTACATTCCTGATCACTAAGTTTGTTCGAACAAGGATGTGTTTTGTCTGTGTTATACTATTGGCTTTTTACACATAACCAATTTTGAATACTTTAAACTGTCTTTAACTCTAGCCTAGAGGATTCAAAACCTTCTATGGACTTTTTGTGCACCAAATTTGGATGCAAGCAACATACATACAACTAAAAAAATACTCACACACATAAAAATAAAATCTTAAAAAAGAAAGGGTCAACAAATTCTTGAAACTGTGTGGTAAAGAATTCTTTTTCACCCTTTGTGGGACTGAAAGCTAGTTTTCCATTGTGGGAATTAATTTTACTTGTTCTCAAATATTTAAATATGCAGCTTTTTTATAATATCCATCAGTACCACTCCTAAACATATATCCAAAGACAATGGTGCTACGGGAGTACCTTCTGCTTCTTCAGCCAATAGTTGCTGAACCATGAGCGCACAGTGCTGTGGGAGTGCCTTATGCTCCATCAGCCAATAGCCGCTGATATACCAGCCCACTGGGGCGTGGTATATTTCTCTTTAAAAGAAGAGTGGCAAGCCTTGGCTTGGTATCTTGGTTCCAGTGCTTGCTTCCGGCTCCTGCTCCAGTGACTAGGCTCTTTTCCTGATGGTTTATGTGTACGTAAGTTTACCCCCCAAAATAAATACCCCTTTAAAACATAACTGGTGTGGGATTGATTTGCCATTACAATGGTATTTTATTTAACTGTAGAAGCAGACAAAACAATGAAATTTTCATCAAAAATTGATGGTTCTGGAAAGCAATATTTTTAAGTGTTTTTTAATCTTATTTTCTTTCTCCCATTTATACAGTCAAATTAGAGTTACAGAAAAGTGTATATTTTGTGCCTATATGTACTAGCACAACCATTGTTTTTCTTCATATCTCTGGGGAAAAAAACAGCAGTTAAATTAACAAGAAGCTCCAAAAGTTAAGTATTACATCATTTCCCTATCACAACCTGATGATTCATAAAATATGTTGAAACATTGATAAGTCTGCGAGATAACTACATAGAAGTGTAGAAACAAACAGTCATTAGTAAATGAGGCAGGGAAATCGTGTTTTAGTGAACACACTTGTCAACCTAACTAAATGTCATGGAAAGAAAAAAGAGAAAATTTATTTTAGTGAAGTATAGTAATCAAAGATTTATACATAGCAAGAAATCAAACATTTTGTTCAATGCAACAACTGTATTATTCTAAACTTTCTAATCTTGATATAAATAAATGAACATGTCAGTGTATTTTCTGAATTTTTCATACCTGTTTGTCATAATGTGACTTGTCAAGGAATATCAATGGCGAAATGCTTGTAAGAAATGCAGATTTTAAGACATAATCAATCTGATTGATCAAAGTTTGGTTTTTATTTTACTTATGACGAATGTGTTCAAATATTTGCCTCTAATCTACAAGTTTATGGCGATAGAAATGTTTCATTATCTATCTTTTATTATTATTGTCTTACATATGCACAAGTGTCCAGCTACAGTGTGCTAATTATGGTTTTTGTTGTTTGTTTATTTGTGGTATCAGGGCTGATCACTTTTTATTGAGTAACCAATTCACAGGCCAAAATCTGGGAGATGCTAACTTACCCTGCTCCAACATTGTTACTTGTCTACATCTCTTTGTCTAGAGTAGGAACCTGTGAGAATTCCCCCATTCTACGTTAACATTTCTATAGATATTCTAATGTTCTGGTTTAATTTATACTATCATTTCTAGGTAAGATTATTTCACACCACATTTTCTCCATTGTGGTTCTCATAATCTTTCTGCTTCCTCTTCTGCTTTCTGCCCTGAGTCATACATGCAGGAGCAGTGATGTAGCTGTATACATTAGGGCTGAGTTTCCCAGGATCTATATGTCTTTGTATTGCGTCTGGTTGTGATTTTCTGAGATGGTCTCTATTTGCTGTAAATAGAACCTTTTCGGTTAAGGATTGATAGATACACTTACCTGAGGTTTAGTATTCGGTAGGAATTATGGTGCTCTAGTATTCACATTGGTGGGTTCTCTTCTAAGATCTACAACTTCACTATTCCCGAAATGTTTGCCAGATTTCTGGTACCAGTAAAGATTTCATGTCTCCTTAGTTGTCTCTTAAACTAAGCAGAAAACCATTGGTTATCATAAACATCTGGTATTTAATTTAGAGAATATTGTAATTTAGAGATATCCTCCATGTTGGATGTTGTTTTGGTTTATTAATGCAACAACTGGGTAGAATAATTAACTGTTTTTCTCTTTTTATAGATTTTACTGCATTATCTCATGCCATGGAAGCTAGACTGCAAAAAAGAGTCTTTCAAATTATATCTGACTAGAAAATCTGAATCCTGTGTCCTAGATATATGGTTTCTTCAGCAAAAGGTACTTGCGTATAACCAGTAAGAAGCAAGCAATTTCGGCAGCAATAATCTATATTTTCCTAGGATTTATTTGGACTTGTTTGATCAATCATTAGAAGGAAATACTCATGCCTGGTACTAGGTGTTTTTATTATTTTCTGGTTTTGTGTTGCCAGGCCATGTGAACTAATTCCATATATTTCTGTTTCTGATTTGTGGGTGTGTGCATGTATTTATATACTAATTTGTATTGTGTATAATTTAGATAAATATAAAATAATGGTTCTCTGAAAATTTGGGGCTTTATCACTCAACCTTTGTGTATTTCTCCCTCCTTTCACATTCTAATTATAATACTATTACAATATAATACAATTAAAATATTACAAACTATTATTATACTATATTAATATACATTATATTACATCATGGTACTACTTTACAAATCTTGTCCTTATATACATAGATACATGTAGCTATCACTGCCTATCAAAGACGCCTCTTCACAGCAAATAGAGACCCTCAGAGAAATCCACAGCTATATATAATATGAGATCAATTCTTCACTGGAATTCACTACTAATGAAAACATCTACACCATATCTCCTGTCTATGATTCACAGAAATCATGGAATATGGAGTAGAACACTACTGAGAGACAAAACATTAGGAAGTATATTGTGAAATTGTCTTTCCTAAAAATGATGGCATAAACAAGACCAGAACACTAGCAAATCTAAAAGACATGTGTCATTGAAGGGGGTAAATTTCACATAGTTCTACACCTAAACAAAGAACTATAAACTAGTAAACCTAGAAAAAGGATTATTAGCCTCTTAGAGAGATAAGATCCTGTACTACCTTTTCAACGAAGACTACTCAGTCCTAAAAAAATAGATTCAAAAATAAATGGACTCACATATATATGAGTATACACACACATACACACACACACACACACACACACACACAAAATTGGAATAATGACACTTAGGTAGGGCTGCAGGGAAGGGTGGGAATGGGAAGCTAATCATAATACCATTTTGGTGACACTATTTTAAAAACATTATAACACTACATGTAACTTTTTACAAATCATTTATTATGTGAAACTTTTATTTTGTATCTCACACACATATATTTTCACTGTTCCTAACTTTTATTTCAGTACAAGGCTTCCCAGGTGTCCTCCTGAATAAAAACTCCTTCAATACATCAGAGATTAAATTTGGTGTGCACAGCTTTAATTATTACCACATCAGTCCAGCCTAGTGAGCTCTCTTGAACTCTAGAACTAGGGCCTACTTTTCTCTTTTTTTCTCCTGCTAGTAATTACATTTAGCAATTTCTGTAGTGTAGGTATAATAATTTCCTTAAAAGTAGAATATTTAAAGACAATTTAATTTAAGTATCTTTAACGCTAATGAAACCTTCTTTCATTCCTATTTAAATCCTCAGTCTAATGAGATGAAAAGACAATTA